TCAGACCATGCCTCCTTTCTTTGCCGTCGATCACTCCCGAAGATGACTCCATCAAATTGCTCGGGGTGGCCTACCCAGCTCTGCTCTCCCTCTTACAGACAAACTACCACACCACCACCACCGCAAGATCAGCCGCAAACGCAACCAGAGACAAGTATATCTCCAGCGTGACAAGGACGCTCCGAGAGAATATCATCTCCTCATTCCACCACGTCAGTTCAACAAATAGGACCTCGACCTCCTCGTTCGCCTCATTCCCCTATCCGCGTCTCTCGACACTGCTCGTTGACCAGATGTACCCTCTCCTCTTGGAGCTAGGCATCCACACGACAAAGTACCTCCAGGAGATCGTTCCCCTGCTGTACAGTACGTTGTCAAACCCTTTCGGAACAGCATACCCGCCTCTTCTCCTTTCCGCGGTCGCCGTAACACGCGCGGTGATTCTGAACGCGCATCCGCGACTGTGGCGATGGCGCGGTGAGATCTTCGGCGCGCTCTGCTCGTGTTGGCTGCGCGTAGTGGAGGAAGAAGGCGAGATTGCCGAGCGGGCCGTCAAGGGGCGGAGTGCTGCCGAGGACCAGGAGACCAATGCCGCGCTGACCAAGCTTAAGAAGGAGCTGCGGGGCGTAGTATACCTGTTGAGGTTTGCGGTGGAGAATCCTGCGCAGGCGGACGGAGATGCTGGCCAGCTGGAAGCGAAGGGTGCTATTCGAAAGGAATTGCAGGAACTAGTTGATGCTGATGAGTCTCTTGCGGACTTGCTTCTTGCGGATATTGATCCTAATGATGCGGACTTTTTCGGGATAGATCCGTGATTTGTCTAGTTTACAGCTCTCTTCTATGGCAATAGTGGCCTGGTCGACACACATGAGTAATATAAAGTGAGCTATTGCTCAAGCTTAGAGACATGAACGACAACTTGGGTATCATTAAGACATAATTCATCATAAGAGCTCGCAATAGTAAGGTTATATATCGACCCGTTGCTTGAAAAGACTCTTCCCCCGCAGCCACTGTCTGTACCGCTTATAGCGTTTCTTCTCATAGTCCTCTGCAACTACCGTAAGTCCCTCTTCCGATACGGTAAGAAACTCGGCATAATCCGCTAGGTTCTCCTCGGCATTAGCTTCGAGTATGGCCTCTTCAACGTTGCATTTGTTGGCATATTCCAGTAGGTCCAAATTCGACTCGTGCTGGGCAGAAGCTGTGGTGATCTCGTCTTCCGATGTCACAACGAGAGGAACGTTCAGTGGGTGGTTGATGTACCGCTCGTATTCTTCGGCTTCTGCGGTAGTGACAGACGGATTCAGCGAGTCGGTCACCAGCTGGCCGAGTGTCCATTGAGCAATCTGTGCTTTGCTAGGAGTAGCTGAATCTGTCGATGTCTGCATGGATGGTATTTGGCTACTGGACACAGAGAGTTCATATATGGAGTCTTTAGTATACTTTGCGGAAGGTTGTGCCGAGTCCGGCTGTTGCAACCACTTCTGCGTAGAATTGGGGTTCTGCGGCGCGCTGTGCATGGGTGAACGCCTCGAGTGCTCAATGACGCTACTTCCTGGCTCCTGGATTCTCACACTTCGTTGCGGATGCCTCTCACGATTGGCTTGTTCGTGAGCTATTCGCACATCGAACGGGCTGAAGGGGTGCGGAACGTAGTGAAACGTTGACTTCATTTTGAACGAGAAGATCTTTGGAAGAGTCGAGACAGCCAAAGGTCGGTAATACTCCAGCCAATAATCATCAAATCGCGACAGCGGCTCCTTCGGGCGCGAAGGGGGAGGTGGCAGTTCACGCTTCTTCAGATTCTCAGGGGTGTACCAGTTGATATAATTGGGTCGCCTCTTCTCGGCCCATGATTTGGGACTGGCATGATGCAGATAGTAGTCGGTGGACAGGTCCCACAGCATCGGTTGACCTTGGGTAAAAATATAGTTACCAAGGAACAGGTTGTAAGCTTCCTGACGCTGCGCATCAAGGAACGAATTGTTGTAGTATCTCTTGAAACTCTCCACCATGTCTCGAGAATGACTGGTCCACTGATTGATCTTGCGGTATGTAGCCATGGTATTGACCAGGTGGGAACCGCCATACTGAATCGCAATTGTGTCACCGTGATCGTGCCACATAGTGGAAAAGAGATTGACAGCGTCGCAGTCGTACTCCAAAGTGGTGCCATCAATGAACCCGAGAGCATGAAGCTGATAACCCAGGGCTCGTTTTGCGATCACGAACTGGGCAGCATTTGTACGATCAAGACAATCGATACAATTCGTCCGAGCAATCCCATTCTGGAGTTGTAAGCCAGAATCTGCGTCATGACCATTCTTGAAGAAACCAGTCTTCGGGATGATTTCGCCTGCGATCTCCTCCAGTGTCCCTACCACGTCCTGGTCGCGACTTTTAGCAGCGCGGCTCATGTCCCATGGTTTGTAGATGATCTTTTTATCTTCAGGAAGAAACTGGTTCAAGTAGTTGATGGCATTTGTATACTCTTTCAGAAGTTTTGACTCGCGTGGAGTCCGCTCCCTGGACTTAATCAGATTCAAAGCGTAGATTGGGGCACCGTATCTCTCAAATAAATTGTCGAAATGGAGGGCCGCAGCTGAGTAGAACGGATCCACAAGATTCAGCTCAATGTCAGGTTTGGGTGATACCCCTGAGTTGTCCTGTGTCCAGTAAAGAGGGATACTGCCCCGATGCTGGACATATGAGGTGTAAAGAGGGTTGGCGTAGAGAGCAGGGCCGGGAGCATGGAATGAAGTCTCGGACATTTCAGAAACGATCTGCTCCGTCTCGACATCGTTAGCGACGTATCCCAGATCATTAGCACCCCGTTTCAAAAAGCGAGCCCCAGCGAAGAATCGAGATCGGCGAGCAATAATGGTCAAGTATGCCAGCCGCCCATACACATCAATCTTGGCCTGGTCGACGTAACCATGAATGATAGGGAGACACCATTGATAAGGGTTCTTCAGTGCTGTGATTGCGGGACTGAGCAGGTGATGATTCCATATGAACATCGTGTTGTAATCTTGGTGGAAGCCTTTCGAGCACCCGTCTTGATGAAGTTTGCGTTCACGGCAAATGTTGTGTTGCAGGGTGCGCGTGATGTCGTATGAGTAGCTGAAGTAGAATGACCGACTCAGGTCAAGATTATTAAGTATCGTAATATACCGCGCCTCTTCGGGATTCTTCTCGGGCTTCAGCTTGGAGGAGCTCGATGTTGTCAACGAAATGAGTTCCGTCCCATCGATCTTGTAGATATAGTGACCGCCCACCATAGCAACCTGCGACCTCTTGGTCACCAGAAGCATGTAATATGCGCCTGTGAAGCGAATAAAGCCAAGCAAGGCCCATGCACTGCATCTGAGCTTCAGCCCGCCGGAGATCTTATTCCCATCGTCAATCGCGTCAAGCAACTGGCTCATTTCCCTCTTGGTGTACACAATATCGTCTTCGACGATAAGCAAATCATTTGTGTCTGACGTACGGTCGATTTTCAAAATGCGAAACCGCGTGTCTGACAGATCCATGCCTACCATATAGAATCGAGTTGCCGTCTCATACAATGAGATCTTGTGCATGCGATTGATGCTTTCTTCGCCGAGATCAAAAAATGCCGATCGGTGCTTCTGCGCTAAGGTCGGTGACGAGTCACGCTCGAAGGACGTCGCAACGTGAGGCTCCTCGTCTTCTTCATCGTGTCCGTCTTCGCTGATCTCGGCTGCTGGAGGCGGGCTGAATGGCATGGGAGGGAAAGGAGAGGCGGTCCGCGGAGGTCGGAAGACATCTTCTTGATCGGTAAGTCTTCGCTGGGTGGTATCTACTTGATCTTCAGTTCCTTTTAAAGTCCCGTTCGACGTGAACGATCCTTCTGCGATCGTAGAGCTCAAGTCAGAAGCAAAACTTGGGGTGCGGTAGTCTGCTCGTGATGGAGCTCTTGAGGGATACTCGTTAGGTAGAGCAGCATGTTCTTCGACGAACTCCACCGGGCGTGGCGCATCATCGAAGCTCTCCATTTTCATGACTGAGGCTGGGAGAATCCTGCTCCTATTCCCATGTGGAGTTCATGGGGCAGCAGAATAGTCGTCAAGTCTACCACCGAGTTAGGAAGTTGTTCTTGGACATAGCGTATCGGTGTTTAGAAGATGAATAAGATAGGCCCGCTATCTGGATTACAGCAGGGGGCAATCTTACCGTACAATACAACTCCATTACAGTACAGAGCCTTCTTCCCCCGCATGATGTAATGGCCACCATTGGCCACCATTAGCACCATCTAACGTTAGTTATGTAGTGTTAAAGTGTGGGGCTTAAAATAGCCTGCTTTAATAACCTAGTACGTAGGCTTAGAGAAATAAATATACTTCCTGTTCTAGCCACTATGGGTGCCTAGTGAAGTACTAGATATCTAGATTAGAACTATGGGGCACTTTAGATTCCCCTCCTAGTTCCTTGGTTCAATTCTAGTGTCATACTATGCTGCCCTCCCTGGTTATCTGGACATTTAGTGTTAGAACTCCCCTGTGTCTGGACACTTCAGCGTCTAAACACCATTGGTGTCTAAACGCTTTAGTGTCCGGACTGCCCTGGTGTCTGAACATCTTGGTGTCTAAACACTTTAGTGTCCGGACTCGACTGGTCTGGGTGCTTCAATATCTGAGCCCCCATGTATTTGTACACTTTAGGATCTACACATTTCAGCGTCCGGACTCTCTTGGTGACTAATACCTATGCTGAGGTAAACAGTCGATACGTTGTAAAATGTTATCCACTGGCCTTGCTGTATCACGGGACCGCTGCACTGAAGATAGAGGCTCTCGATGTAGAAGCGTTGTCAACGTAGAGGCACGATTGGCGTCGGACAATCTACGTTGAAGGGCTGCTACGTAGCCCTAGCGAGCCAGAAGTGCTCAGGTACCAAACGTAGTCGATGTCAGGAGTACTATTTATTGAAGATGTATGGAAATGACACTGTTTAAGCAGTCCTCGAGGTTTTAATATTTGCCAAAAAGCCATGGAAGAAGAATGGCAAGCAAGAACCCGGCCAATGCAAAAACCAGAAATGCCCTTCTCCGTTGCTGATCTTTGCGTAAGCTCTCCAAATTGCCAACACTGGCCTTGGTATCTCTATGGTCTGCCCCCAGTGCTTTGGCTCTCCCGACAGCTGCCCTCTCGTACATTTTCTCTGCCTCTATTAGCCTCCTTTGATCCCGGTATAGGTTTCCCAAATTGTTGACCGTGGACAGAGTTGCTATATGGTCCGGACCAAGGACCTTCTCTCTCCCCACTAGAGCCCTCTGGTATAGACTTTCAGCTTCCTTTAGCCGTCCCAGTTGTCTATGCAGATTTGCAAGGCAATGAACAGTTGCTAATGTCGATATGTGATCTGGGCCACAGCGCTTTTCAAAACCTGACAATGCCTGCTTATATAGTTCTTCCGCCTCTTTCAGCTTGCCCTGATCTCTATAGAGGCTAGCTAGACGGCTGCAAATGGTCAGCGTAGAAGGATGATCTGGGCCGCGAACATTGTTGAATCCTGCCAAGGCTCTCTGGAACATTGGTTCGGCCTCTGGGTTTCCTTGATCCCTGTAAATGTTTGCGAGGCGACAAATGGTCGTCAAAGTGTCTGGATGATCCGGGCCAAAAAGCTCCTCCCGGCCTGTAAGCGCTCTTTGATACATTATGTTTGCCTCTGCGAGTCTGTCCTGATCCCCGTAGAGATTCCCCAGGCAGTGGACAGTGGTAAGTGTCTCTGGGTGCTGCGGGCCGAGAACTTTTTCTGACCCTGTTAGGGCCTTCTGGAATATATCTTCAGCCTCCTTCAACTTCCCCTGATCGAGATATATATTCCCCAAGCATTGAAGGGCGTATAGTGTGGCAGGGTGGTCTGGGCCCAAGGCAGCTGTGTATCCAGTTAATGCTTGTTGATAAGCCTCATGGGCGTCCTTCAACCTGCATTGATCAAAATAGAGGTCTCCAAGGCAGCGCAGCGTGTTCATCGCGTGAATATTATTCGGGCTAAGAGCCTGATAGCTTGCTAACGTCTGTCGATATAGAGCTTCAACTTCTTCGAGCTGATCCTGGTTGAGGTGCAGATTCACCAGACATGATAGAGATTCTAGGGTGTCCGCATGCGTAGGACCTAAGATGCTTTGTCGTTCGCGGAACACCCTCTGATACATTGCTTGTGCCAGCTCCAGGTTCCCTTTCTGACTATAAAGTTCGCCAAGGCATTGGACGCTGGTCAGGGTAAATGTGTGAGCTGGCCCCAGGGCGTGCGTGTATCCGGTTACGGCCTGCTGGTACATGTTTTCCGCCTCGTCTAACGCACCTTGGTCGGAATAGACATTGCCGAGATTATGAAGGGTCGCGATTGTATCCATATGGTCTGGCCCGTGAGCATTCCGATACCCAGTCAGAGCCTGCTGGTACATATTCTCAGCATCCTCCAGTTTGCCTTGAGCGTAGTAGAGGTTTCCCAAACTCTGGATCGCAGTAAGCGTCTGTACATGGTCGTGGCCGAATACTTCTGTGTATCCCGCCAGTACCTTGTTGTATATTTTCTCGCTTTCATCTAGCTTTCCCTGATCCTTGTAGAGGTCCCCTAGGTTAAGGGTAGCTGTCAACGTGTGTGCGTGTTTCGCTCCAAGAGATTTCTCGTATCCTGCCAGGGCTCGTTTGTACAATTCCTCCGCCTTGTCATGTAGACCCTGGTTCCTGTATAGTTCCCCAAGGTTGCTGACCGTTCTCAACGTCGCCGTGTGATCGGGGCCCAAGGCTTTCTCTTGGCCTGTCAATGCTCGCCCATACAGCTTCCTAGCATCATCGAACTTGTCTAAGTCCCTGTATGTATTTGCGAGAGAACCAACAGTGCTCAGTGTGTTTATATCGCATGGGCCAAGTCTTTTCTCTCGACCTACCAAGGCCCTTTGATACATCAGCTCAGCGGTTTGCAGCTTGCCCTGGTCCCTGTATAGATCGCCGAGGTAATGAATTGTAGTCAGGGTATCTGGATCGTCGTGACCGAGCTTTTTTTCATATCCGACCAAGGCTTTCTGGTACATTTGCTCTGCTTCGCTGAATCTTCCCTGGTCATTATAAAGATTCCCAAGGGAATGCATCGCGCCAAGCGTAGAGGCATCGTCTGACCCAAGGACTTGCATAAAGCCCGTCAATGCCTGCTGATACATCGCTTCGGCGTCTCTTAGTTTGCCCTGGTCGAAATAGAGATTCCCCACTTGCTGAATAGCTTTAAGTAGAGAACGGTCCTGGACAAAGACGGCCACGTTTATAATCGCTTCACACATCTGGTCTGCGTGAAGAAGAAGCCGTTGCTGAAGAAGCCAGTACTGCCTTTCAGAGCGTAATGGCACCGTGTACCCCACAGAGGCCAGAGCAATTGCTTTCATGGTGAGCTTGTCTTCCTCGCTCGTCTCACCAACAATATGTCGACACCAATCTTGGACCACAGGATGCATGGAGTAGCTTCCGTCCTCCTTTGTCTCGATCAATGAGAAGTCAATGAGAGTCCTCATAGACTTGAGGAATTTAAACGCATTCGAGACCACTTGGCGAAACCACGAGGGAGCATCATCATAGTTCAGCCCGCTTTCAACTAACTCAAACCAGATATCTCGATTGTGAAAAGTGGAGATAAGCAGCAAGAGCTTTGCCGCCGGTGCGTCGCGTTTCTGAATCTCGAGATAAGATATCCTCCAGGTTGTGCGTATATCTCCCTGAGAGTAGTGGCGTAACGGCGACATCTCGGACAGTAGCTCACTGAACGATTGCTCATAGAGCTGTAAATATTTTGCAAAACTGACGCCGGTCTGACTGATGAAAGATCCAGCCATAACAATAGCTAGCGGTAGACCATTGAGTCGATTGGCGAGCTTTCTAGCGTCTTTTCAATAGGTAAGTACATCTACCATTGCGCAGGGAGAGATTAGTCGATTTTACCTTCGTTTATTACACACCCTGCTTCGGTGTCCTCCTTTGTCAGGCGCCCAGACGAGTACAAGAGTAGTTGAACCCCTTCTTCCAAAGACAGCCCTCGGACTGGGAGTGGCTTGCCTAGATCCCTGAGCTGCGGAAGCCGAGTGGTGATTATAATGGATCCTTGGTCTACAACCGGAAAGTAGTGACTGATATCGTATCCTTCACGGTTTTCAGTTTGTGCCGCCGGGGCATACTGGTCAACATTGTCGAATATCAGCAGCCATTTGAAGTTCCCCCCGCTGATAACCACTCAAGGACCTGCCGTGCGTGTGCTTCCCTCTCCTTTTCATTTTTAGCGCTCTGCGTGAGTTGAATCCCTGGCAGCTTTGGGAGGAACGAGGCCAATGATTGGATTAAGGTTTTCTCATCCTTGCCATTTAGCCAGAAGACGGCTGTGAAGTCGAATTTGTGGATCCTGGCAAATTGGACAGCCAGCTGGGTTTTACCAATGCCGCCAAGTCCATGAAGGATGGCTCTTTTCTGCATAGGAGAACCCTCCGGTTCGAGCAAATCCCAGAGCGAATCTAGCTCTGCTTCGTGTCCCACAAATCCGCCTACTGCAGGAACTGTGGCCAAGTCCAGAGGGATACGGAAAGATTCTGTTTGATAATGAACATAAATATAAGTTAAAACATGAGCTAGTAGTTGTACGAAAACAAATCCTGAGTTCTCTCCTTTGGCTCTTCTATCGTATAAGGCCGGACAACATCACTGATAGATTCAAGGCGAGGGTGAGATTGAGCTGAGCTCGACATACCTGCTTTCACAGCGGCCTTTGCCATCGGTGTCAACAAGACTTTCTCCGGCTGGACCACGGCCAGCAATTCTTTCGCGTACGCTGCCGCCGCCGCCGCCGCAAACCCTTGCCATCCGTCATTCTTGTGTGAGTCTGCGTAGTCTGAGATGCCTCGAATGACCAAACATGGGAAATTGTTCAAAAGGCCCGCGGCTTCCATTTCCACACAGTAAGCCCCAAGCTCCTGATGCAAACGGCCCCTCAACGCAGAGTCCTTGACAACCTGATTTGCCGACGCGATCAGACCATAGTGAATATGCGGCCGGTCATCAGCACGCAGAGGACGGGGTACACTTTGGGCCTGGTCGCAATCCGCACAGGTGCCTCTTCCCTGGCAATGGGCGTATTCCGCCTGAAAGAGGTGATCTGATTGCGGAGGACGGCTGAAGCCTTGTGCCATACGAGGGAACCTGGCTACCATGTCGTCCAAGAATGTTTGGATCTGACTTTCCCGCAACATATGGTTCGCTCGAATCTTGGCCAGCGCAGTCAGGAGGACCTGCGGCGGCGGACTCAATATGCCTGTCCGCTGAAACTGTCCGCCGGTTAGGGCTTTGCCGAGGTCATACTGCACCACGCCTCCGTGGTCACCCGTTGGCCGACTGACAACAACATCGCCCAGCCGAATATCGACATCCTTGCTCGGTATCCCTCCTCCAATCCCAATCATGAAGCCAAAGCGAATGGATGGGAAGCTGGCCAGTAGCTGCATTGCCACGACTGCGGCCGAGGCAATCCCCGGTATTCCATCTGGCAAGCAAGCAATGACGATGTTGTGCGCTCCAATTCGTCCAAGCGCATAAGTATTCTTATCATGGTGCGCGACGGGTAAAGATTCATGGGGGTCGTCGAGCATGGCCTGCGCTGCGGCCAATTCGATAGGAAGGGCAGATATCCATGCCACTGTGTAGTCCTCGTGAGAAAGCTGCACCATTGTGCAAAACAAAGGTCTGAATAAGTATATTTGGTATAGTTACACTGCGATATTTGATGATTTTAAGAATTAGCCAGCTCCCTCTCTTTTATCTACTGAGGATCCGCTTCAATAAAATGGATTTCACCATGTGCTGGAGCTGAAAATGTGGGGGGTCGGGGACGCATTGACCGCAGTTTAAGTGCAGGGATGGAGACATTAAAGAACTATTATCCCTTTTTCTAGATTCCTGTTGGCTTACAGTCTTCAAGAATAGTTTCACCCTGTCTGTCACCCGCATGGGCATTGCATGGGAGATTAAAAGCAACCCAACCAATCCCTCTTCGCCCATCGACATATCAATGCTACCCGCCTCGCCAATATATGTCCGTTTCCCGGACTTCCCGAAAGTTCAATAGACCCAGAGCCATCATAGCCATGTCACATCTGGGCTCCCGCTATCGCAATCAAGCACGACCCTATTCCGACCACCCCGGCTGGTTAGAGGTCGAAAGTTCCATTGGAAGGGTTACCACTACTCACGCCGTGTCCACAGTGCCTTCCACCGCAGTGGCAGCCATTCTTATGGCCCTTTCCCACGATTGTTAGCATCCTGTTACGAGTTATTGCTATTGGCAATGGCCGGTATCACTCACAGCTCCATGCTATCCCATCATATGGACTATTGTCAGTGTTCTGGGCAGAAACAGGGCGTGGAAGATTTGCGAGTATCATCACTCACATAATGGCATCCACAGTAGCAAGCATTAGAGCCCACATTGGTCACTCCATATATGCAGTTACCGCAGTTGCAATTGTAGGTGTTGCTGCATTTCTTCTGGGGTCGCGAACGGCCACCGCCGTTACTGGCGTCCCAGATGGGGCTTCCCTGGTACCCGGACATGGCTGTTCTATTTCGGCGGGCTGGGGTATAACCGTTGTAGAGGTGTTTTAGTTGTAGAGAGGAGGATGAGGACCTTGTGATTCTAAATTATCTGTGTGTCGCAACGCATCCTTAAATACACAGTCTCACCACCCCTGTATTACTGAAGACAGAGACCTAACTAAACACCGTCTTCACATTGCCTGGGTACAGCGTCCCAGCTGAAATGAAATGGGAACTGAAGAAACCCTTTCCCCATCGGCTGATATCTCCTTCGCTTTGACTACCTCTTCCCGTCCCCTCATGAGAAGCAATCTGAAACCCAGCTAATAATTTCCGGTCATTCTGACATGCTATCCTTCTCTATAATGGGCCCATCCCTGCCTTATCTGATAGTCTCAGTGCTGTGGTTTACATCTCCATATTGTGCCTAGTAGGCAATGGCTCTGTCGCTACTGCAAGATTTTTTCCTGTTTGCACCCCCTGAGGTCCTTGGTCGGATAGAAGAGCAAGAATCCCCTGCTGCCTCCTGGTTGCACTTGATCATGTAGTTTATCAGCCTTCCCGCCTATGTATCCCTCGCGAGTTTGAGTGAGGGGCGCGATGTCTTGATGTTCATCGTACTATACGGCCCCAGCTGTTCCATCTGGTATTACCACTGTCCTCACGCACCAGTCACCAGTGGAAGCTAGTACAGGATCTCATAAATAGGGAAATTATTGGCTTAGAATTCACGATTACAGTCCTGCTGACCAGAAAGAGGGGTAAGCAAAGTAATGTTTGCCTGCGTTCATTTTAAAGAGGTTGAAGCGTGATTTGATCCAAGTGTGCAGGGAATAGGTCTGGTGGCTTCCCTACGGACGTATAGATACAGAATGGCTGGCTGGATAGGAAATAATGTGCGGATGTGGACAACCCAGGCAGGCACAATGCCCAAACTGTGTGTGACCAGCTGAAGAGTATCCCTGGGAGCCTAGTCAATAGTCCATGCAGATTTGACCGGGCGCTAAAGAGTAGCAAACATGATCCTGATTGGACCTGTTTGCCATGGTTAAGTCCGTCAGCAGGGTGAATGTGAGCTGTTCATTGCGGGTGGTGCTTCGGCAATCCCGAAGTGTCTGTCTTTAGAGTTAAGTGCAGGTGAAGGCTAGGCAAAAGCAACATTGGCAAGTAAATTGGTGATATGGGTCTGGATCCTATTTAGATGGACATGGTTCAAATGAGCAGACCAACAAGCATTGTATATACTTTAGTAAAAAGGATTTGGGACACTATTTCATTTTGCCTCCTGATTTCCTTCATTGAATATGTATTTCTGTTCAATATTCCGCCTCTTTAAGGCAGGGACGAATTCAAAGGTGTAGTTGTGAGAAACTACTTCGGATTCTATTTCAATGTTATCAGCTCCTGTCAGTTCAGGCACAGAGAAGACATATCAATCAGTCGTGACGTTAGAGTCTTTCCCACGGTCGCTGTCTCTTAAGCATAACAACAGCCTTAACCTAGTGGGGGACAGAGTTCCTCATGGACAAGGAGTAGCGAGGGGCTTGTCGAAGGTCGGTAGCGACAGTGGAGGTCAGATGGTTCTTAGAAAAGATGGAATTCAGAGCGTTTGGTCCTTAACAGAGAATGAAAGTTTCCTGATAAGACTTCGGAAAGCGCGGAAGGACGATATACATAGGTAAGGTATATACACAATAGCAATTTAGCTCAAGGCTGGTTGAAGTCACTCAAATCTGTCCTTCGCATTTCGTACAACCAGTCAGCCGCTCTTGGGTTGTGGGACATATGTGACGGTTTAAATCTAGCATGTACGGACTATATGAAGTAGAGTTTTACTGATGCTAAGAGCTGGCACATCACAAGACTATAAAATTCTTCTGCCGCAAATTTGCAAAATAAAAAGCACAATGCACTCTTCCTGACTTCGGCACATCAGGCCTTTACGGACGCTCCCCTGGTACTACCATGATGGCACTGTGGGAGGCTCAAAAGGCTATGCACCCAAATACGAAGGGTCACAAGGCCATTTCACAGGGCATCTATAGCTTTCTTAGTACATTTGCTCCTTGATGTCTCTGCTGAGAAGAGGAAAGGAACGCTTGAAACATAGTTAATAACCGTAAACAGAATTTCGAGAGGCTATCCGAGAGGTTGTAAGTAGCAAACAACCTTGTCAAAGGAAGGATACCTACTGAAGGATCCACTAAGATTTCTGATCGCTGTATTTTCCCATCCAATCAATCACAGTGCGATACCAAAGCAAATTATTTTCCAGATTTACAATCGGATCCCCTTCATCTAGAGATACCAGGAGCGCACTATCCACACCTCTAAGCAGGAGAACATTAAAAGCAGCTAATCCATCAGCAATGACCCTCTTGTAATTCAACTCGCAATGGATGACCAAATGGGGAGTTTGCCAGCTCGCAGTAAATCGTGCTGGATCCCATTACATCCACTCATCCGGAGAATGTTGCCGATTGCTAGCTAACTGAGAGGTCATACAAAAATCCCATCATGCGTCACAAGGGCCTTGAACTTACGGCCAAGCTTGTGACCTTGAATCCAGTTGACCATGTATCCTCCGTAGCCGGCACCAACGGCGACGGAGCCACCAGTGTCAATGTATTGGAGATAGGAAGGTGATTAGTTAATTTTCATCTGACTTGTCTACTGTAAGTGATGATATCACTCCTCCTAATCCCTGATACCGCCATACTTTATCGATAGAGTCTCTATTTGGTTGATCCCAGCGTTCCACAGGTTGGACATAGCATGGGCATGCTATATAAGTAGCACTATTGACTTCTCTGTCCCTAGCGATAAATACTATGGTAATGGGGTTGATTTCAAATTCTTGAAGACTCTTCCCCTCCCAGAGGTGACATCGGCGACTCCAACCCCTCTAGTCCCGCAAATATCATGAGATTAGAAATGCCTGAGATACAGTACCAACTCCTTGGCTCAGACCCTCTTTGTTACTAGATAGAGTTCCTCAATCTGCTCACATACGAGCATGCATCTCTGACTGGGAAGGTAGTGTAGAAATGGCCAGTGCTATGGCCAGTGGATTCTGCAATCTGCCTTGGGTTCACCAGTGATCCATCTGGGTTTGACCTGCCACTAATTGCAAACGCAAGATCATTGTCGTCGTCCTCGCGAAATGGAAGTTTGTCCAGTGACCTTGGGGTCAAAGGCTTGGCCGGGGATTATGCCAGCTTTATAGATCTCAGTAGTAGTGATCTTAGCGGCAGTGCACTGTGTGTTACTGACTATTAAGTCAGTGTTACTCCGTTCCGGCCATTCAAGCCATATAAGTTGATTGCTTTTCGATAGCCATTAAGGTGATCTGGCGTTAGGATGCTCAGTGACGCAGTATGATTGACCAGTTGCAAGGTCTATAACGCGGATCTCCTTTCTCTGTTTTGAGAGTGAACAGAGTATGTGCTCTGAGTATAGACTGTAAAATAGCCCATTCCAAACTATTGTAGCGCTAGGGGCGGCTATAACAGTTTATATCGACCTATTCCTGCACTAGGGCGTGGACGCCTTTCGTGGGATACGCACGTTTCCCAGGCAAATGGCCCAGGGGACAGAAAATTGGACCTTTATCAACGACGACGACACTCTATGGAACAGCGCTAGTGAGCTGGATATTTTGGTGACTCTGTCACGGCACAATTTATGCAATGCGCTGAGATACCTGGAAATAGGTTTTGACCATAGTGAAAGAAAGCCAGCATCACTACGATATCTAGGAGAATTTATCACAAGGGTTGAAATACCTAGTTTCGCTGTTGATCACAAGAAGAACCGACTCGGACCTTTGGCCGAGCGCCGACTACTTAGTGAACATCATTGTTGCGTCCAGCGGCAAGATAAGACACTGCGGGCACATGCTCCGTAGCCTCAGGCACTACGTCGACAGCGCTTAAGGGTTCGCAGCCCCGTGCCAGTCTGGGCGTCCCAGGGCTTGACTTAACGAGAGCGTATCTCAGTTTCTGAAGGGCCAAAACGGCTATGGCTCTCAGTGATGATATGGGCTGCGGCAGCTCCGTCCAGTACTATATACAGCATATACAAGTTCCTCTCCACAAGTACCCATCTTAAGACTAGTAGACCTCAAAACGTATCATGAAGTTCCTCCACCTGCGTGACATCTTCCACAAACGTAGCGCCATACTCTCTCATGATCTGTATCTTCTCCTCCATATTCATTGCTAAACGCATTCTCCCAAAATCCCTTGGTAGTTGTTCAGCACTTGCAAACCTCAACACCCATACGCCCACTCCATCCGTTGGCCAACCAAACTCCACCACCTTTGCTTCTTCCTCAGTCATCTCCCTCCCGTCAAGCTGCACCTCAACCCAATCCTCCCTACTCGGCCATCACGTCGCACCAGTCCGTCGCAGGAGATTACAGAATCTATCTTCTTCGTCGGCATTGGGTGAGCGCAGCGATACGTGAGAGCGGGGAGTGATAGGAAAAGCATATCAACAAGGTCAGCGTCTTTTCTAAGAACCCCGCCAGTTGAGGGGTAGCCGTAGATAACGCATCCCCAAATGCCGAAGACGGTCCGTTCAGTTGTTGATAAAGGAGGGTTTGTCGGGCATGAGCCGTCTGGTTGGTCGTCTATTACTGTTCGTTGACGAAAAATAGGGAAACGGTCCACATTGATGGGAAGTAAGCGGCCAATTGTTAATAGAAAGGTAGAGATGATGGGGATAAGCATGCTGCTAAACCTCATGCTTCAATAAGACTATAAACAGGAGAAGACCAATGTTGGGTATATGTACTCAACCTCAGAAGCTCATGAGCGCGCTCTCAGGGTTATGCGGATTGCTGTCTCAATAATGTGGGGCTTCGGCAAGGATCATAAGTATAATTAGCACGCGCCTACTGTCTCCTTTTAGATTCTTGGATGAGAAAACAAACTAAGGCTAGAGATGACTCTCCTTGCCCGAAGCCATGAGCAAAACAAATACGTCTGTGATCATGTGCTTGACAGATTCTGTTATAACTCACTTCTGATGATTAAAAGTTTCAATGACTACTCTGCCCCCTATGACAAGGCATGGTTACAAGATTAAGCATTAATCCTTATCTACTGGTCTATCCTGCTAGTAAACCTAAGATGAAAAGGCTTCAGTTCCAAGGTCGAGTCCTGCAGGTCGTACGAACTGAATCAAAGCCATTGCCAATAACGAATGCAAGAAGAGAGCATTCTCCAAACATCCTCATTGTCGCCTTTGGATTCTGTACGAAAACGCACATAGGAAAGAAGTGCCATGCGGGTCAGGTATATAGACAATTCAGAGGCCAATCTTCGGAGCACAACAATCCACGTTGGTCCCGCTCCCCTGGCCCGGCTGCTGCTGTGAATTATCAGTCGGTGGATCCGAAGTCGAGATGTCGATGCTAGTGGCGTGAGGTATGTGACCCCTCCGCTGGTTCCTGGAGCTACTGAAATAATAAGGCACTTCGGGGATCTTTAACATTCATGGTTCATCCGCTTGAAGACGTGCTGGCCCTTGTGGCGTGGGATTGCTACAGGAGTCCGGAGCCGCCTCTGCAACTTCAGGAGTCGTGTCATGTCAATCAGGGTGTTTGAATGAGTTCTGTGAAAATTGTACTTGCGAAAGATTTGGTTCCCGTTGGAACGGGCAGGGCAGACATTTTGAAAGGACGGGGACTGTAACCTGTCGGCTATCTGGCTGGCGTTCAGAGACCTGATCAAAGGGAGGAATATTCTAATCATTGCAAAAGCCCAAAAAACATCATTTTCCTAGTTGACCCAATCGGACTGCGGGTTTAAGGTGCTATATCAATCTGGTTCCAGGTTGTGCCACCACGATTGCCATATTTCCCGGATATCCCAAGCGACTTCGCAACTCACCGTGACGCTTTTTAAACTGCTATTTTGGATCTGGATCTCTTAAGCAACCGATGTCTCCGTAACCCTATAAAGTAAGAAACTAGGGTAAGTTGGGGAAAGCTCTAGGATAACAGTATTTCTATAATCACTATATCTTATACTAAACACATCTGTGACTATAATAGTGGTATGTATTTGCATATCGCCGAAGGCAAGGGGTCAGCGTATGAATACTTCATCATCATCAGCTGGAATATTTTCAAGGGTTCCGTAGTACTGAGCATCACACGGACAGTCGGCTATTCGGCTATTCATACTCATAGTTTCTTCTCTGGGACTGTCTAGTCACTTTGCCCTGTTCTCTCCGACTCTTCAGCCAGGCAGCTCTGACACATTTCGTGTATTCTCTCTTTTCCGGGGTGATTTCCAGCCCCTGGCAACCAAGGAAGGCAGTCTTTGGAAAGTGGGAGTCAATTAGCAAGGCATGGTTCCTGGTTCTGGTTTTGTTTTCGTTAAAGCGTGAAGGACAATCATTAATCTAGGAGATTTACGGATCTTACTCACCCTTCTGTTTCATGCTCGGCAACAAGATTGTTCACAAGTAGTTCCCGCAGTTCCGGGAATAATGGCGCTTTACAGTGTTGAAGCTCACAGACGTTGACCTCAAGCCATCTAATCGCGCAGCTAACCAGGCACGGACAGGACTCGGCAAGTGCTATCAGAGATGCTGTTGTGAGATTTTCCCGAGCACAGGACAGAGATATTTCTCTCAAATTAACAAGACCCGAGACCAAAGCTCGGAAGTGAGTGTTGTTGAATTTCGGAATCCTGAAACCCTTCCGTAGCGGGGTTACAAGGTGTAATTCTCTCAGGTGCGTGAGAGCCCCGAGAGAGATGAGGTCGTCAGGTGAGATCCTAGTACGGCCATAAAATTTGATCCGCAGATGCCGTAGCTCGGTCAAGTAGGAGGAAAGCAAATTTATAGTAAGTGAATTGATGGTGGGTATGACTTGTACGCTGCGCCGGAGATAGAGTTCCTGGATCCCACGGACTGATGGGATAAGGGCCCGAAATGCACTCTCATTTGGACTGCTGAGTTCTAGCTGTTGAAGCGATCTAAATGGCTGCGGTATAGAAGAGAGATCTGCAGTGTCAATTGTCTCTGGCCAAAAATCCTGATAGATATCAAGCTGTCTCAGGCTATTCTGTGCCGCTAGGTAGCGGAGGATCTGCGGTGGGAAACTGTGCCGGCGAACACTGAGGAGGCCGATGTGCACCAGGGACGAGCATTTTTTGAAGAAGTCGATAACTGAATCAGCTGTTAAGCGCGATGCAGGAATATCCAGAATAATGTGACGGAGCTGATGGTAATGGCTGGCAACGGCGTCTAGCAAATCTGGATTCGCTACGTGGTCGAGCTGGATGCTTGTTAGGGTAGGCACGAGGTACCCTTGGATGGATGAGTCAGGGAACGGCGGAGAGTTAAAAGAAGAGGGAATTTCAAATATCAGCCTGTGGAGTTGAGTGAATTCAAGCTTCCCTAGCTCTTCATGTTCCTGCGGCTCGGGGCTTGTAACAGTAAGCTCTTGGATCAGGGAGGCATAGATTTGGTGATGATGGCCTGGAACCTCTAAAAGATGAAAATCTTTGGCCACTCGCCACAGTCTGGGGATAGCGTACTGAAAACATTTGTGGCTGACATGTATAAAGCGGACGCAGTCAACAAAATGCACATGGCTGAGTATCTTGAACCAGAGTTCTGGTGGCAGATTCTCCATAATAGAACTTGTTTAGTCCCATTAAGAAATGACTCTCAGAGGGGAAAAATGCACCCCAGGCCTTTCTGCCTCTGGCAAACACGAGATTCCCCAGTCGCTAAAAATGGTGCAGCATCTACTTCGTATCGTATTCGACTGCAAATGGCTAGAACCTCCAGCCACCCGCGGATGGCGCGTACGGGCCACAGAGAAGCCAATATATGAGGATCTTGGGATTTCTCCAAGCGGAGCCTAACATGACTCTGGCGACTCCATTCTTTGAGGAAGTGAATGCAGGTTTAGAAATATAACAGACGATATCTTGAGACTCCTTGCCTTCAAAGCACTGACGCAGGCGCTAGATCTAAATACTAAATTGGACTTTTTGTGGTAGGGATTAATAGCCTCACCTTTTTTTCAGCCCTTGCCTAACATTGTAAGTGTACTATGAGTAAGTCTTTGGGATGATAAGTCAGGAGCTGAAGTGGGGTAATATTAGCTATTCTAGAAAAGGAAAGGTTGCTATCTATTTATTTACCTATTTTTCCACTTCTCTATTTTGCCTCCTAACTATTTTCCTACTTTGCTAAGCTCCTCAGACAGCATATCAGTTTTAATCACGTCTTTATGGCTTGAGTTCGCCGCGCTATCTATAGCATATGATATGATCTCTTTCTCTATCACAGACTATTGTAATTTCTGTAACAGTGTATTGTGGTCCCCCCTATAGGTAATAGAGTTTGCCACATATAGTAGGTCCTGAATGAAGTCTAGCATCCTATACAAGTTTAAGATATGGATGCTTCCATCGGCAACACTGAGAGGGTTATTGCATCTTTTCCTGGATCATGGTCCTAGTGTAAATACTATTAGGGATAGACTGGTTAAACCCAACCCGGGAACCCTAACCCAACCCGGCCCTAACCCGCCATGGGCTGGGTTTGGGTTCAGGTTCTAGGGCCCGTGGGTCGGTTGGGTTCTAATTCTTAGAACCCGCTAAGGGTTGGGTTCTAAAAACGGGTTTTAATTACAATACCTAGTAATTAGAATACACTAACCTAGGTTAGATTTATGTAGAATGCATTATTTATATATATATATTTTGAATGCTAGTATAGATGCTAGTATGGTATAGAAAAATTAAATACATACTAACTAGATTAGGTAGGCGGAGTGTAGAATTTTCGGCAGAATAGAACCCGCCGGGTTGACTATCTAGAACCCGCCGGGTTATGGGCCGGGTTTAGGCCCTAGAAATCTAGAACCCGAACCCGGCGGGTTGGGTTCAAAAGATCGGAGAACCCGGCCCAACCCGCAAAAATAACAACCCTACACTCTACCATGACACCCGCCACATCATCTAACATGCAGTATATAGAGTGGCTAGAATAGTCTCTAAGAAATAAAGCTAGTCCATTATTAAATCTAGATTTAGCCACTTCATGCAAAGTTCATAATACTATTAATGCCTTAATTAATGCGCCCTTTTTCCTAGAGGGCACCCTAACATACATATTATCACCTAGTATATCTAGCTTGGACAAGAGCTAGCAAGAGTTTCTGCAACCAGCAGATAAATAAAATATCATTCTAATCAACCTAGTAATCCTCACAAATAATAGGCCTTAGGAGATAGAAGATGAACACCAGCATATTCACATGGACGGCAATGGTGTTATCTTGGAGATTATTTATTAATATCCCAACCCTCCACTACTTCTCCACAACACGCTTGCTAAGAATAGAAACTCTAATGCATATCCTAAAGTGCAAGAAGGAAACTCTTAGTTAGATAGCCTGCTACATAATTATCTGCATACATAAGTATCTGCTAATAATAACCCAGAAGCCCATATTCATGTGTCTAGCAACCCTCTTAAGGTCCTAAATAGCAGCTAGTAGTTAAAAGGTCATAAGCAAAAGTTATAACAGTCGCATGGACAAGCACAGCTGTGTAAATAGGTTAGAGGTTCTTCTACAACCACCTTAAAGGAGGATTCCTTTTCATTATTTTATTCTCACTTTATATCTGTATTAGTTGATGAATGCTTATAATTTCTTTCCTAGCTATTTAAAGGCGCACTACCATGCTGTATATCTAAATCTAATATGAGAGTATCTGAACCTATAGTAGAGTTGCATAACTGAACCGCAAAAATCGAACCTGAACCTCACCGAACTCACAGCGGTTTGGGTTCAGTTCCTAGCCTAGTGAATCGCACCGGTTTCAGTTTCCATAGGGTGGAACTGTTTTGGGTTTGGTGAAAACCACCAGTTATAGTTTTCGCAGTTTTGTGAGTTAGGTGAAACCGCCCAACCTATTTAAAGATATTTACAGAGGTATTACAAGTTAAAAAATAGACTAAGTTAACTAAGTATTCTAACCATAGTTAGATTTTATGAAGACTGTATAATAAAGTAGAACTCCTCTATTATATTAATATAATCTATTAAATAACTCGCCCTCGCCCCTCATTAAGGTCTTTAAAATACCCTGGTGGATGAGCTGCATAGCAAGGTTATGATAACTAAGGAGTAGTAGGGGCCTGGGATGCTGCTTAAGTAATAATAGTCTATATTATAGGTAGATAATCATTATTAACATTATCTCTATTAGATGTAGCGGGCAGGGCCCGCTGGGTGCTCGGGCTGTTCGATCAAATCGTACAGCCCTCGCGAAGTCACGTCCAAACTGGACACCAGCTGCAGGCCACGTGACCTCGTACTAATCAATGTAGTAATCTGCCCGGTCACGTGACCGCAAGAACCATTCGCTTACTCCTTTTTATGTTTGGCCGCCGCGGCCCTAGCTAGATTTCTTCCTTAGCAATTTCTTACCATCCAAACCTAGGTCATAGGTTGAACCGGCTTCTAGCCCGTGACATTAGAAATCGCTCAGCACAACCAGACGAACCAGACGAACCAGACGAACCAGACGAACCAGACGAACCAGACGAACCAGACGAACCAGACGAACCAGACGAACCAGATGAACCAGACGAACCAGACGAACCAGACGAACCAGACGAACCAGACGAACCAGATGAACCAGACGAACCAGACGAACCAGACGAACCAGACGAACCAGACGAACCAGACGAACCAGACGAACCAGACGAACCAGACGAACCAGACGAACCAGATGGGCAATACAGACGGCATGAACTATAATGACGTGTTATTGTGGATGTCAACATCTCCTGAAGGACCTAGCAAAGAACAACTATCATAGCAGAACAATATGCAGATGAATCTCATGGCCTAAATAGCCTAACAGTTACAGAACATTGCTAATTAAATAGCTTAACTTAAAGAATAATAAATGACTGCTACCACAGCAGCACCTACTCCTCAGATAACCCCACTAACTACCATGGTGGAAGACCTAATGAAAAGACCTAAGCCCACGCTACCTAATGTGGAGATGTATGATGGCTCTAATAAGGCTGTGTACCAGACCTTTTATGCTAAGCTACAGGCGAAGCTATTGCTTAACCAAGCTGCAATTAGTTCCTTCCATAGGTGCTTATGGTATGCTTTTAGCAGACTTAAAGGAAATACTACTGCAGCCTTAGCCCCCTGAATGGATTAGTACGGAAACAATCCAAATGCAATGCAAGTAATATTAAATAGCTTATATAACTAACTTAATCTTATGTTCCTTAACTGGGGCAGAAGTAAGAAGGCCTTATAAGAACTACAAACCCTGCACTAAGGCAGCCGCCTATTCAATGAGCTATTAGCAGACCTTAACCAACTGCTGATGGAAGCTGGAGGCTATTCTTAGTCTAATAAAGTAAAGAAGAACTATCTGGATAGCGCCCTAAGCTATGAAGTGGAAGGAGTACTTACTGGTGTTAGGAAGGAAGCAACCTTCGCGGACTACTACCACTAAGTATAGTAAGTAGCTAACTAAGTAGAAGCCCTACATGCAAGGGGAACTAGCTGATCTAATTAGCATGGAAGGAATATGCAGACTACTAGTTATAGTTATGTCACCTATATTCCTACACCCCTGGTGAACCCCATCTCAGCTATAATAAACCCTAATGATACTATGGACTGGGAGCCTTCCTCTGTAACCTTAGCTTGCTAGCGGTGCTGTGCTAAATGGGTTGATAAAAATAAGTTATCCCATCATTATAGTAAAGGGAGGTGCCTATGCTGTGGGGCATCAGACCATATGATTAAGGGCTGCTAGTACCTAGGGGCTATTCCCCTATAGAGCAAGGAGCTGAAGCCACTGCGCACTTCTTAAGCTATTAGATCCCTACTCAAAGATAATAAAGCAAGTGAGGTGGAAAACTAGTTACTCCTATAAAAAGACTCTTACAGGGGCTAGTTAAATAGTTAATGCAGCTAAAAAGCTAGTGTTACCTATACCCTAAGAAAGAAGATATACTTACTGGTTATAGATAGTTCTGATGAGCTGTTAGATTTAATGCTCCTAAATTCATTATGTTAGGGATTATTAATAAGGAATATAATTATAGAATCCTTCCTGATACTAGATGCACATCTTACGCGGTTATGGCTGAATACTTTGCCCAGAGGCTATAACTGGAGTAGATTAAGATTAAACTAATTTACCTAGAGAACTACACTAGCACTATTAGAAGTATTATTTTAATAATCACCCGATTCTCCCTAGATATTAGTGGTAACTACTAACACATGGTCTATGCCTATGTGGTACCTGAGCTAGGCGAAGGCACTAATCTAATCTTAGGAATTCCATGGATGAGGGATTAGAGAGTAGTAGTAGAGGCTAAGGGACCCCAGCTAAGACTTGTAGATAGGTTTATAGTAGAGAGCATGAAGAATAAGCTAAGACTAGTAATAAGATAGATTAGTGCCTAGGGATTTGCTATTTATAACCAGCAGTGGAGAAAGGACAGGACTATATAGATCTTCACTGCTAGTATTAAGGATATTAAGAAGGCCTTATAGGTTAAGAAGCATACTAACCTAGCCATGAAGTTGCCAGCGCATTACCATAAGTTCCTAGATGTATTTGATAG